GAGTCGGAGCATACAGCACCTCTACTGGAGCATGGCGTGACTAGATCCGGTGATTTTACATTTCCGATCTTCGTTGGTGATCCATAGTTCGTAGAGAATTGTATTATATATCACGAGTGACGTAATATCGCATTTCAGAGAGTGATCGAGGCAGAGAACAGCCAGTTACAAGAGGTCGACCGAGGACTAGAAACACAGACAACGTGGAAGCGGTCCCTGAGTCGGAGCATGGTGATACAGCACCTGTACTGGAGCATGGCGCGACTAGATCCGGTGATTTTACATTTCCGATCTTTGTTGGTGATCCATAGTTCGTAGAGAATTGTATTATATATCACGAGTGACGTAATATCGCATTTCAGAGAGTGATCGAGGCAGAGAACAGCCAGTTAGAAGAGGTCGACCGAGGACTAGAAACACAGACAACGTGGAAGCGGTTCCTGGAGAGGAAAGTGATGCCACTGCAACAGGTACCCACAGCCTTATGAATTAACTTCCGTTTTTTTTTGCAATTGCAAGATGAATCTCCAATACTTTCATTGAAAACCTTCAAGCCGTTTCGAGAACAAAAGTTACAATTTGCTTTATGCTCCTTCTTTGAGAGCAGTTCCCTTTTTCTCAGTATCATTTATCTGGACAAGTGGCCCTGAGAATGGTAATATTATCGAGATTCTCACTGGGACGTTTGCCATACTTATTTTCTAAGTTTTTCATCTTGATGTGTTTAGATTTCCTTTGTGCAGTGTTTTTTGGTATAGGCACTGCACAAAGAAAATCTGCCGTTAGTATTTTGTTTCAGGCAGCGCACAAGGAACAGATTCACATAGGCGAAGAGGCCGACCGAGGGTGCGCCCCAGTGGTTTCGAGCGTCAAAGTAGACGTGAAGGAGAATCATCTTCAGAAAGGGCTGCTCGCCTACAGGCAGATGTCCTGCATCACCGACAAAGACGACGTAGTGAGCGAAGTGAGGAGAGGGCTGAACGGCAACGAGGTGATGCAGAACGCCACAGTCGAAGGCGAGCTGAGGAAGGCAATGAAGAACGGGCTGAACGACAACGAGATGACGCGGAGCGCCAAAGTCGAAGACGAGCAGAAGAAACCGATGAAGAGCGCGCTGAACGCCAACGAGATGAAGCAGAGCGCCAAATTCGAAGACGAGCTGAGGAAAGCAATGAAGAACGGGCTGAACGACAACGAGATGACGCAGAGCGCCAAAGTCGAAGACGAGCAGAAGAAACCGATGAAGAGCGCGCTGAACGACAACGAGATGAAGCAGAGCGCCAAATTCGAAGACGAGCTGAGGAAAGCAGTGAAGAACGGGCTGAACGACAACGAGATGATGCACAATGCCAAG